TGATTTTGCATCAGCTGGGTGCTAGTGGCTCATTCTTGTAATCGTAGTTGCTCACAGCTACTCAGGAGACTGAGATCTGAGGTTCATGCTTTAAAGCCAGCCCAGGCAAAAAAGTCTTTGAGACTCAGGAGCAGTGACTTCAGTGGTAGAGTGCCATTTCTGAGAGAAAAAGTTAAAGGGCAGCTCTCAGTTCCATGCTGCCATTTTCATGTATTAAGTTAGTTACAAAACAGAGTCTCCAATCACATTTTATCTACTTCATTTGAAATAGATAAAATATGCCCTGAAACAGTTGTAGGCCAAGAAGGGGCCATTAAAAATATTCAGTAGACAATGTCACTGTGAGAGTTCCAAAGGTTGGCATGGCTCTGCACCCCTTTTACCTAGAAGCCTGCAGCTGAAAACAGAAATGTTGTTTTTCACAAGGTCATTACCCTGATTTTATAGGAGCTGGAACGGAATTAAAACTGTGGCTCAAGCCTGTCATCCTAGCTATTCAGGATGCTGAGATCTCAGGATTGTGGAATAGAATGAGCCTGGGCAGGAGAGTCCTGTGAGACTCTTATTTCCCATTAACCACCTAAACACAGGAAGTGGAGCTGTGGCTCAAGTGGAGGAACACTAGCAAAAAAGCTCTGGGTCAGTGCCTAGGCTCCGAGTTTAAACCTAGGACCTCCCTCCTCAGTCCCCCCCCCCCCCCCCCCCCCCCCCGCCACCCTCCCCACACACGAATGAAGGAGTGAATAAGGGGGTTAGTGGCAGAGCCTTTAAGAAATGGTGGCATTTCTTCCTGTAACACTTTCACATCACACCTGCCTGTATTTCTAGGGAACGGTGAGAGAGAGAATTCTCTCAACTTTACACCATTAGTCTTGCCTGCTAGTTTCTGTCTCTTGTAAATGTGTCCTACAAGAAGACAAGCACAAGCACATGGGGCTGGGAAGGTGGCTCAGTGGTAGAGCTCTTGCCTTAAATGCCTGAGGCCCTGGGTTCGATTCTTCAGCACCACATAAGCAAAAAGAAAAACGCCAGAAGTGGCACTGTGGCTCAAGTGGTAGAGTGCTAGCCTTGAGCTGAAGAGCTGAGGGATAAGCGCCCAGGCTCCCCCCCCAAAAAAAAAAAAGAAGAAGAAGTCAAGTACATACAACCTTTTCTAGATTGCTTCCTTGCTTGAATTACCCCAGTAGTACAACCCGCCTTTGCGAATAGACCTTTCTTTAAGGAAAAGGTGATGGTTTTGCTCTGTATGTTTATTATGAGTTTTAATTTCCAAATCTGGGTTGGACAATCTCCACCATTTTGAGATCAAGTTTTCTTTTCTCTAACATTTGATATATTTTGCCTCTGTGAGATAATGTTACAAAAACACCTCTTTATGGCTATCCTTTTGTAAAATCCAAAGCAAGGACCATCTGGTAACAAAGATTAATCTGTTTTAGAAAGGGAAACATTATTGCATATTTTAAAATATGTAACTAGCACAGAACATTTGCCTCAGGCATCAGAATGAGATTATGGTTTAGGAAAAATATTTAAATGAACCTTCATCTTTTAAAACTCTGTAAAACATGTTTTGTTTTTTCTTGTGTAGTAAAACTTAAATATTTTAAGTTGTCTGCTGAAAAATAGTGCTAATTTAAAACTAAGAACAAAAGATGTTCTAATAGTGAGAGAAAAAGCTGTAACTTTTTTCTCTTTTTAATTTATAAATGTTATGATTATATTTCTATGTTATTAGTTTTACAAATGACAGGTAAACTGATCTTGTTAACAGCTAGTAGACTATTTTTATTTATTTTTTATCATTTTTTACATTGGTTTATATCTTTTATGTCATTATCTGTAAGTAGTTGTACAATAGAGTTACCATTCAACAAAGCAGTTTATAAAGATAATACTTCTTGATCACTGAAACTACATTTTTAAGACAAACAAGAGTTACTGAGCAATTTGGCAAAGAACATGTTGTCCATGCCTGCCACCTTGCATAATGACTCCTTTAACTTTGGTATGAGGTTATTTTTTAAATTAAATGGCTTCATGAAATTATATAAACACATGATTAGGTACAGCCCATAATTCACATTAAAGCTCTGTCTATATTGTACAGTTATATAGGATGACATACATAGTGATACATAGTGATGTGGATATCTTCTATACTTTTATAGAGAGTAAATGTACTGCTTTAGAATTCCCCTGCTCCCCTCAGCCCGTGGTTCGTGAATGGAAACAGCAATCTATGTCTAAGTAGAAAATTAGGACAAAACAAATTTGCAATGGAAAGAATCTATATTTTCATGGAGGCATACTCTAGCCCCTTATTCTTTAGTTACTTTTCAGACAGGGTCTATTGCTTTTGCTGTGGCCAGCCTCAGATGGAGACTCTTTCTGTGCTCCGCCTCCATCAGTAGCTGGAATTACAGGTATGTGCTACCATGCCTGGTCTTTACTTTAGGTGTTTTTAATTATAAACCAGTTGACATCTTTTATGAAAGCAACCTCAAGAAATTTCTATGTGTGTGTGTGTATAAGAAACAACTTGTATTATTCTACCAAGAAATAAATGCTAATACTGACAGTGAACCAACATACCCTTCTAGGTGGAGGAGTAGATACTGTTCATAAATTTCTATGAAAGTAGCTTGATTTATAGTGTTTGATTTGTTCTTTGGTGTTTCTTAGTATTGTTAGGAAAATTTGTATAATTGTTTCTCAATTTCAGCTCATGACAATCTTTTTTTTTAGCATGATTTATTAATTAATTAATTAATATATTTATTTATTTAGTCGGTCGTGGGGTCTGAACTCTGGGCCCAGGCACTGTCCCTCAACTCTTTAGCTCAAGGCGAGCACTCTACCACTTGAGCCACAGCACCACTTCTGGCTTTTTCTGCTTATGTGGTGCTGAGGAATCGAACCCAGGGCCTCATGCATGCAAGGCAAGCACTCTCCCACTGAGCCACTTTCCCAGCCCCACATGACAATCTTATTTAATATTTTATGGGAGTATTTTAGATGGCTCAGTTTTAATCTTTCTACTTCATATGTTCACAGGTAATTATATTGGCTAAGAATAAATCATTAAAGTATCAATCTGCTTCCCTGTTTATTGAGTCTGGTAGAGTTTTTGACTTGGTGTCTTTCTTTTCCCATTGTTCTTGAATAAACACTCATGCTGTTGCCTCTTGTGTGTTTTGAGTAGAGCTATAATTTATATTCCACAAAGAAAAACCTACAAAACAGCTTTTGTTCTTAAAATGTATGCTCTTGTTCTTAAGTGTATGCTCATTCAATAATCTTGAATGAAATAACCAACTTAACATAATTTTATATATCCTTGTTCTGATACATCATATAGTTTGAAATACACATGTTGGTTTTCATGTAATAGCATTAAACCCTGGCTAAATTAGATATAATCAAAATAATCTGTTACAGTATACTTATCTCTGACAAAGCTAGACTGACAGGTGTCAGTAGTAATTCTTTGGTTATTTTGGGCTTCAGAAGTAAACATTCCATAATTGCTTTGTTGTGTTTATGGATGTACAGATATATATGTATATACGTATACATATACATGTATGTATGTATGTATGTGTATATATGTGTATATATATATATATATATGTATATATATATATGTATACCCAGTAATCATAGGCTAAGAATATTGGTCTGGATCAAATCCTAAAGTCTTTATTGTTAAAAATGTTTTCATGAAACTAAGTAAACAAACAAAATGGTCATGACTTCAAGTTGAGCAAAATGTCATAGACAGATTAGGAAAATGGAGGGACTGGTAGGGGTTGGGAGTGGTGTAGAAGAACAATGAAAGAGGTAACGTTGACCAAGATGCATCGTACTCATAAACTGACATGTTGAATTTTAACCCCTTGGTGCAATGACCTAAAGATAATAAAACTAAAAAAATTATCATAGGCTGGCACTGGTGGCTCACACCTGTAATCTTAGCTACTCAGGAGGTTGAGATCTGAGGATCGTGGTTCAATGCTATCCTGGGCAGGATAGTTTGTGAGATTTTTACCTCCAATTAACCACCAGAAAACCTAAGTGACACTATGGCTCAAGTGGTTGAGTGCTAGCCTTGAGCTCAGGGACAGAGCCCAGGCCCAGAGTTCAAGCCCCATGACTGATCCCCCTCCTCTCCCCTCCCCCCAAAAATCATAGACAGTATAGAATACTTCTAAAACAAGGTGAGTATGGTATTTGTGTACGCTATTTTCAGAAAAGAATATTGTGTCCTGCACTATAAGTTCTAAACTGTTAGAAATGACTTAAGCATTTATTGATGTGGTAACCAGCTGGAAAATTTTTGCTTTTTTATTTTGTTTTTGATTATTCAGAATGAGTATGTTCTAGTTCTTGAACCAAGCATGATGGTAGAAATATTAAAGTTGAGTTTTCCCAGTATTTTTGCTGGTTGTGATTCAGATTATAATAAGGTTTTGTTTTGTTGTTGTTGTTTTGTTTTTGGTGGTAGTTCTGAAGAAGGGTATGTAGAAAGGCTCCACAGTAGAGCTTGAAACTCAGTTTACTGACACCTAATGCAGTGATAAGTCAAGCCAAGGAACCCGATGTTTTCACTTAATAAAATATTTTTATGCAGTTCTACATAGATAATGCTTTGTATTGCAAACTTGTTTTTGTAAGGTTGAGTTCACGTCATTGTACTATTCATTGTGAGATTCCTACAGCCTCTTCTCTGTTCTGTAAGGCCACTAGCTTTAATCTATGTTAAACAAGTATGTTTGTTTCTTTCCATAGGATTGGACTCACTCCGGTTTATACTTTTGTTCCTTTCATGTTAATCACCGAGACTGCTGCAGAACAATTCTTCAAATGTTTGAGGAATGCACTCATGTCCCAGAGGAACAAAAAGAAAAAAATTAATAGACTCACAAGTAATAAATCATGCATTTCTTACCGTGTAAGATTCACCAAGATAAATTTGTGTTCCATTTTTCTCCCCACAGTCTCCAAACGTCCACAACTACCCCGATATGGAAGCTGTCCCCCTGTTACTAAATAATGTGAAAGGGGAGCCCCCGGAGGATGCACTACCTGTAGATCACTTCCAAACACAAACTGAGCCTGTGGACTTGTCTATAAACAAAGCCAGGACGTCCCCTACGGCCGTTTCATCCTCCCCCGTCTCCATGACAGCGTCTGCCTCTTCACCGTCGTCTACTTCAACCTCTTCATCCTCTTCCAGTCGTCCAGCCTCATCCCCAACTGTTATCACATCAGTATCTTCAGCATCATCTTCATCAACAGTATTAACTCCAGGACCTCTTGTTGCCTCGGCCTCTGGTGTGGGAGGCCAGCAGTTTTTGCACATTATCCATCCTGTACCGCCTTCAAGTCCCATGAATTTACAGTCTAACAAACTGAGTCACGTTCACCGCATCCCCGTGGTGGTACAGTCGGTGCCTGTTGTCTATACAGCTGTGCGGTCGCCTGGAAACGTGAACAACACTATTGTTGTGCCCCTCTTGGAGGATGGGAGAAGCCATGGCAAAGGTAAGACCTATGAATCTTTGATTTATTATGGCACTGGAGATAACTATTCACTTTGTCATTCATTGGAGCATAAATTATATGCATACATTACACTCAAGCTCTGTGCACAACTACAAGAACGAATGATGAGTTACTGAATGCAGTTCACTGGGGATATTTCATTCATATATATGAATTTTTTTAATGTACGAGGTGGGGGGAGGTGGTACTAAGGCTTGAACTCAGGGCCTGGACCCTTCTGACTCCCTAAGGATTTTTGTTCAAGGCTAGCACTCTACCACTTTTACTGAAGCTCCATTTCTGCCTTTTGGTGGTTAATTGAAGAGTCTCACATACTTTCTTGCCTAGGCTAGTTTTGAAACCTGATCTTCAGGTATCAGCCTCCTGAGTAGCTAGGATTACAGGTGTGAAACACTGGTGCCTATTATTTATGTATATTTAAAAAAGGTATATAGTCTCTGTTTTTATTTGGCAGTCCAAAAATTAGTGTCAAAATGGCAGATATCTCCATTTGTAAAATGAAGCTTAGTATTAAATGCTCAAATGGAAAGGGCAGTCCTGTGGATAATGGAATTATGTATAAAGTAAAATTTCATATAGGGTTTGATCAATGTGAAATTTTTTTTATGGAAAATAAGGATTTTTGTTTTACTTTTTTTTTCTTACTGGAAGTTATTCAGATAGGAAAAGTATAAAATTCCATGAAATAGTAGTCTGAGAATTCACTTTTAGGAGCCTTGGAAATTTGGTTAGCATTAAGATAATTTTACCTGGGCACTGGTAACCTCTCATGCTACCCAGGAGGCTGAATTCTGAGGATTATGGTTCAAAGCCAGCCTGGGGCACACAAAGCTAAGACATTCTTATCTATTATTAACCTGGGGCACCAGGAAGCTAAGCAAGAAATCAGGCCTGAGTTCAAGCTCTAGTATTGTGACACTAGAAAAATAGTAAGAATCCTGAAGTTCAGTATTAGGCTTAAAGGATCATGTAGCTTCAGTTTTTGTCATCTGTGTTAAATTCTTAACTGTTGATATCTTATTACATTAAATGCAATGCTAATTGTCTCTTCTGGTGTTTAAAAAGCAAGTAGGTAATTGCCACAGGATTATGTATAAAAATAACTAGTTAGTTCAGTAAATTTGATAATTATACAGATACCATGATGTTCTTTTTTACTCCTAAGTCCTTGGGTGGGTGGGTGGGGGGTTGTTTTGCTTTTGTTCCCTACTTTTTATTAAAAGAAATATCATGCAGTCTGTCTTTCTTTCCTATTTACCCAAACCCCCTAATGTTTGATTCTCCTTCCTGTTTAAACTTGAAGATCTTTATGTGGAACTTGTCTTCAGAGCTTAGAGTTGATACTGGGTATGGCTTAATGATTCTTTGCCTTTTCCTTTGCTTTTATTTTATTACTGAAGCCCATAGTTACAATAGGATTGATAGACACATAAACTACCATCTTAAAAATGCTAACAAACATAATGTTCTTGCTTCTTGTATAAGGGAGGATTCAGTATAGAAAGATTGTATTTGATAGACAAATATTACAAACCTATGTTACAGAACTGGGCATTTACCATTGGCAAGTTATTCTTTGAATCTAGATTGAGTTTCTTCATAACATTGCAATAAATTTTATGTCCCTTGTATAAAAAATTAATCTCAGGATTTCTAGAATTTTAGTTTGAAAATGTGAGATGTAGACATTCACTCCTAACTGACCACCAATAGGATATATCATTATCTGATATATCCTAAGGTTACTGAGAAGGTTAAGAACATAAATGAAGATATCAAGCACTGATCAAGTATCAAATAAGTGTCTACTTACTTTCATGATTATTTGTTCCTCCCCCAAAATACAAGAATAAAAACAGGAACTGATAGGGGAGATAAACATGCTGAACTTTAAAACACAAAACAACCCCAAGAAGTTGGTATAGAAATGGTTCTCAAGCCCGGCACTAGTAGCTCACACCTGTAATCCTAGCTACTCAGGAGGCTGAGATCTGAGGATCACAGTTCAAAGCAAGCTTGGACAGGAAAGTTTGATAGAGTGTTATCTCTAATAAACCACTAGAAAACCAGCAGTAGAGTGCTTGCCTTGAGCTAAAGAGCCCAGGGTCAGCGCCCGGGCCCAGAGTTCAAGCCCCACGACCGGAAGAAAAAAAAAAGAAATGGTTCTCAAAATGTGAGTACAACTACACTTGGAGGTTTGGCTCAAGTGGTAGGGTGCCAGTCTTTGTATGACAGCATCAGACTTTTGCGTCCAAGTTCTGTTCCTGGGGAAGAGGGGAGGAGTTGTTACTATAACACATTATAAAGGACTAGAGATTAGTAGGAAAAATGGTCTGGAATCATCTCATTTTTTTTCTCTTTTTATGACTTTATATTAAGTTTTTATAATGACCATATTCTACAAATATTGCTATGCCATTTTACAAGTTTCTTTTATTATTTTAGTGATGAATTAGATGATAGTAAAAGTGTCTAATGAAGGAAGCTCGCCTACCCCAACAGAATAAAGAAAGCTAAGGGCATCTCAGTAATTCCTCGGGTCTTTATTTGCACATGTGCAGTTAGGCATTCAGCCAGCAGTGAAATGGCTGGTGATAAAGGGACTCCCTGTTTCCCTTCCCACGTGAGACTTATATATCTGGAATAGATGAGTGAACGAGAATGCCATAGGAGACTTGGATTTTCACAATGATAATAATAAAAAAACATAAAAATGTAACTCATGGGAATTAGGTGATTATGCCGGCTAATTACTTTTTAAGCTTGTATAAGGTATCTGGTCTCTGATAGAACACTAGATGACCCTATAGGACACTTGACACTAGGGACTGTGAAAGTACATATCCATATCTAAACTGATGCATTCTGTGAACTGACTCCTTTGTTCATTCGCATGTTTATTTAGCATGTATCCCTATCAGGCATTATTGACTCTAAACATAGTGTTGAACAAAACATGTGCTGTTTCTATTTTATAGTGTTTAAAGTCTAATGAGTGTCAAATGAATAAGAGAAACAATGGATGAAGTTATGTTTAACAAGAGTATTTTCACCCGGGCTGTAATATTTGGATAGAAATGTTTTCACTCTGACTTTCTTTCAAAGGAGGGTGTGGTGAGGGCTTAAAGTGTTGAATGAACAAAGCTTCCACAAGCAATACGTAGGTAACAAAAGAGTAGAAAATGTTTTCTAATGATTGTAGAACCTTGGCCCATCCAAGAAGATGATGAATATTAGTCTAAAGGAAAGTTGTTAGCTCACTCAGATAATCTTAGTGAGGCCTTGAGTATAATACCAGAGATAAAGAAAGATAGCACGACGTTCTCTGAAGTAGAGTAAGTAAATAAACATGATTTAGAATGAAGCTGTGAGAAGGAGAATGTAGAAGAAGGTCTCCTGAGGAGACCTTTTTCCACTTGATATCCAAAGGACAAGTATTTAGCCCCAAAGTGATCTTGAGAAGTACCAAGCCCCCAGTGTGGGAGATCGTATTACCACAGAAGTGGAGACCTGATATCCATCAGCAAAATCCTCAAGGGAATATCTGGCCTTGGTAATAATCACTTCAGGAAATTCAGTCTAGCCTTGGGAAGTTTGTGGTACATCTCTCTAGAGATTTTTTTTTTTTTAACAGATTTCTAGAAGCAGAAAAATAGAGAGTAAGTAAATCACCAGCCATGTTGTCCTTGGCTCATTATTACCCCAATACAACCCTTAAGAGTTAGAATTCTTCTTCCTATTAGCCATGTGCATTTCATATATGCTAAGCACGATCCTAGGAGCTGAGGTTCTAAGATGAGCATTTCTCTTCTGCCCCAAACTTCATTTTCGAGGCAGACAATATTTGTCAGATAGTGTTCTGGGAAGAAATGGTAAAAGGATTGAAAGGTAAAAAGGAACGATGTCATTTTAGTTTTAATCAAGGAAGGCCTTTCTGAGAAAAATAGCTAAGGTAATAATATTTGGGAAAGGCATTGTAGAACAAGAGAACTTCAGATTTGAAGATGAGGCTCAAGTGACTGTGACCTGCATGGGGAATAATGAACAACAAGGAGGCCTGTGGCTTCTCCTTAGAGAGGGTGAGCAAGAGGAAATGGTGGAGATGAGGGCTGGGGAGTGGCCAGGCCAGGGGCACAGCAGGTAGAGTCTTCTAGTAGAAAGTGCTTGAAATGGTAGTTGGACAAGAAAGCCTGGGGCTCAAAGGAAGGAACTACTTAGATTAGTCAGTTAAACTTGAAATCCATTAGGGATAGATGAGATATTTCATGCTATGGACTGATGAATCATCTTGGATGAGAATCAGAACAGAGAAGGGAAAACACAAAAGTCTGAGGAATTCAAAATAGAGGGTGGGAATGACCCCTGATCGAAGAAGGTCAGTTAAATAATTTGGTACATGAGGGGGCTGTTCTCAGCCGACCCCTCTCTCTGTACCCATAATTCTGTATGTCCCACAAGGAGGATACAAATGTCCTTGTGATCTTTGGTAGATACTAACCCTGGAGGTTAGAAAGAGAAGAGGGATCTAGTCATGGATTCCATCTTCAATGGAAGGAAGTAGAAGAACATAAGAATGTAAGTAGAGAATAAAAGATTAGAAGTTGCCAGTTGTTACCAGTCACTACTGAGGAGCTGAATAAAGTTGTGGGTTGGGTTGTGGGTTATGGTCAGGGAAATGATAAACAGCAGACCAGTAAGGTAGGAAGAAGAATAGAAGAGGAAAGGGATACTCAATCTAGACAGTTCTTAGGAGTAGTTTTATTATAAACGTTTTATTGTAGAGAATTACAGTGGTAGGAGATATGCAATAATTTTGGCCCTCCACCAAGGGAATTTAATGGTGGGAGACAGCACTGTCAAGAATAATATAGTAGAGTTGAAAGTAGATAATTGTGGCTAATTCTATAGGGAGAAGAACTATGAAAGCAAAACCCTTAATTGCATATTATTGCTTAGATTATACATCATTCAGTAATTAA